CCTCCACACATACCCGAGTTGATGTCTCAAGGCTCCATGGTCACCATTCAGCCCACTCCTTTTCCAAAATGCTGCTCTTACCACTGTCAGACATATGTGTGTCAGGCATGGAACCTGGATGCTAAGGCGTGGCATAGAGCATCAACTATAATGGAAATGTATCTCCCACACCCACCCACACTTTCCACCTTGGGGCAGCTCAGGATTCAACCCTTCCTGGCCCACATTAATCATACCTTCCTTTGGATTTCCCTGGCACTTTTATTTTTACCTCTCTTTCGGCTTATCCGGGATTGCTTTAGAACAGTATTTTACCATTTCCATCTACATTTTCCAAGTTGTTTTGGGACAGAGTCAGAATTGCCTTTGTATAACCTACAACAAGGAGCATCCTTCCTTGAATTTATGCATATTAATGATATCACGAATGCAGGCAATCTAAAGTAAATGCTCAACAAACTTAGTTGGTAGCCTGAGTAAGTAGGAGGATTCTAACCATATTTGGCCACTACCTAGGAGTGAGGCGTATGATCTTTTAAGTCACATCCTCTCTGGAGTTGTTTGATCATCTCTAAAAGGGTAGGACTGAACTGTCCTCCTAACTCTCCTTTTCTTTTTAATGTTTGCTTCTATGAATTTAATGTCTTCCGTATCCCTGTCTTGAGGGAGCCATGGAGGCAAGAATATGTGTATCATAATGGAAACAGAACGATGTTTCTACTGATGGAGAATGACATCTCCATCCCTATTCATCTTTATTCTTATCTCCATTTTTGTGTCTTTCATTCTTTGGCAATCAAAACTGTGACACAGCAATCAAAGCTGGCCACTTCCTCTATCTTTTGTCACTAGGACCTCTCTGCTCCCACAGGGAGATGAGGACAAGCAGAAGCCCAGGGGCACAGTGACAATAAGGTCCACTGGGCCCACTATTAGGAGTAGGACAGGAAACCTGCTGTGCAGCTATAGGAGTTGTGACTGCAATTGGAAGAATGGATAATATGGATGAAAGTGAGAAAGGGGTACTTGTTCCTAAGGACAATCGCTGGGGACTGTGATTGCTGGAACAAGACACTTCCAGAAAGAGACATCAAGTACTAAAATTAGGGATAAAGCCAGTAACTTTCTATTGAAGGGAAAAACAGTGTTTGGACAATTACGAAAGAACCAAGATCATTTCTGCATTCAAAATAATCAAACCTGGGGAGAGTGTAGTCAAGGCAGCCTCATGAAGAAGCTTGTAGGCCACGCATGCTACTGAGATTGGACTTTATACTTCCGGAGATGCGGCTCCTCTAAAGGATTTCCCCCCATTTTATCGAGGTATAATTGACAAAAGTTGTTTATATGTAAGGTATACAACTTGATATTTTGATATTCATATATGTTGTGAAATAAATCCAATTGAGCTAATTAACATACCTATCATCTTACATAGTTACTATTTTTTTCTTTTTCTTCTCTGCCATGTCTTCACCCATCTCGGGTTAAACCCACACTATTTGTTCTTCCCTGAACAGAATGTGTCCCATTTGCAAGGTTGGTATCATCCTCTCCACCAAGTAAGAGAGTACTTTTTTAAGATAAGTCAACTCAAACTTCATCATATCCTTTAAGCCTTCTCTTATTCCCTAAGCAGTGCTCCCTCCTTTATGTTACCATTGCACTATGTGTGGATCTCAACATAACCCTTACCACACCCTGCTATCACTAGGTGCTTCTTGTGTCTTTCTTCTGTTCCTTGGGAGACTTGGTCTTTGTATATCTGGTTTCTAAAAATGCATATTGAGTAAATAAATAAGGCAGTGAATGAGGCAAATAGTATTTATATCTTGAATAGCACTAAATTTAGGCTATTGCAAGGGATGAGAAAAGAAAAAAATATGTTCATCAGAATGAAACTGGGTAGCTAAGAACCATAGCAGGGTAGACTTAAAGGAGAGAGATGGAGAGACCATGGTCAGCCAGTTAAGAACTGAATTCAGAATCAGTTCAAAAGGTTCATGGGATCAGGCAAAAGGCAGAGTCAGAAAGGTCAGAGCAGTTTTCAAAGAAGTAGCACTGGGTCTGCTGAGAGTCAGAGTTAACTAAGTGGGAGACCACACCGCCAATAACAAGGGTGGTGTCCCCAGTAGGACATCTGGTCAGGCAGTGACAGCCCCAGGGATCACTCAGATGAATTCCTGCTTGTAAAAGGTCACTGTAAATCCTTTATCAAAATAGGAGGATAAGGAGCCCTAACCGGTTTTGCTCAGTGGATAGAGCATTGGCTTGTGGACTGAAGGGTCCCGGGTTAGATTCTGGTCTAGGGCACATGCCCAGGTTGCAGGCTAGATCCCCAGTAGGGGGCGTGCAGGAGGCAGCCAATCAATGATTCTCTCTCATCATTAATATTTCTCTCTCTCCCTCTCCTTTCCTCTCTGAAATCAATAAAAATATATTTTAAAAAAATAGTAAGATAGGGAGACAGCCCTGACTAAGAAGCCCAGGCACTAAGAGCAAGTATCAAGAAAGGGAAAAGAAGGAAAAAGAGGGAATCATAGTTTGCAAAGGGAAGAGCTCAATTGGTTCCCAATATGCACACACCCTGCAGGCAGGGATGCTCCCCGGGAAGAGCTAACTCCCTAACTGATGAGTTTTAACTTTCCCACATCTCACTGCTACTTGAGAAGTCAGGTCTAGCCTGTATACTTAGCTCTCTGGATAAGAGCCCAGTGGTCATTGAATCAGGTTGGTAACTTAAAAAAAAAAAAAAGTGCTGATAGGTCAGTGCTGTCAGAACAAGAAGAGGTCAAGTCTAATGAGACCTGAGAGGGGAAACAAAGGACAGAGCTGTAATCCAGGAGAGCACAGAAGCCAGAGTGGAGCAGGAAGAATAGCCAGGCTGGTGGGAGGCAGTCCAGTGCCTCTGACCACATGGCCACTCCCAGGACGCAGCATGGAACAGCAGCGATCAGCACCTTCCACCCAAGGGTCAGGAGCTCACTAACTATGCTCACCTATACGCTGGTCTAAGTGCGCTCTCCCAGCCTAGAAATAAAGACAGCTTTAGCTTAAAGTTTTAAAAAAATTTTTATTTAACTATAGTTTGTATACAGTATTATATTAGCTCCAGGTATAACATATAGTGATTCAACGTTTTTCTACCTTACAATGTGATCACCCCTCTAATTCTAATAATCATCAGTCATTGTGCAAACTTATCACAGTATTATTGACTATATTCACCTTTACCTTTTTCACTCACTCCCTAACCCCCACCAGCCCCTCCTCTCTGGCAACCATTCCTTTGGTCTCTGTTGCTATGAGTCTGGGTTTTTATGTTTTGTTTTGTCCATTTGCTTTGTTTTTTTTAGATTCCACATATAAGTGAAACCATATAGTATTTGTCTTTCTCTGTTTGACATATTTCATTTAGCGTAATACTGGCCAGGTCCATCCGTGCTATCTCAAGTGGCGAGATTTCATTCATTTTAAGGATGTAGTAATATTCCAGTGTGTGTGTGTGTGTGTGTGTGTGTGTGTGTGTGACATTTTTATCCATTCATCCGTGTGTGTGTGTAATCTTTATCAGTTCATCTACCAATGGACACCTATGTTGCTCCCATATCTTGGCTATTGTAAATAATGCTTCAATGAATTTTTTGATCTACCTCACTTGCCACTTTTATCCTCTTGCTGAGCTTATGACATGCGCTAGGCCTGTCCTTACATACCTTAACCATCCCAGTTTCCTCCCATTGCTTCCCACACCTACATGGCAGCGTGGGGTGGGCTGAAGGCTGCTGAACTGTTTAGGGCTTACCCCTCAGAGTAGTGTGGCTGAAGCAGCACATTCTTTGAACATAGAGATGTTTCAGGACTTTATTGGAGAAGATGTTGTTCTACTTTAATTACATTCTATCCTAAAGTCCCCTTCAAAAATGTAGTAGTCATGGTCAGCAGTTCAATGCAGCAGCCAGTGGTCTAACCCACTAGCTGTTTGGGCTTATAGTTGGTGGTATTCCCAGGAACAAAATAACCAGAGAGTCCATGAAGATTCCACTCAACTTATATCAGGATGGAACCTCTGGGTGGGGTTGGGGGGTAGTCTGACTAAAATACCAAGAGTCTTGGTCCCTTAGGGGCGTGTGCTCGTGCACCACAGAAAATTCTGACATTCTTTGAAGTCTATGGAGATGCATTAAAAATAGACCCACTCAGGCTTGGACTCAGACCAACAGAACACAAGCTTTCCCTGAAAGAATTAGGAAAAAATACAGCCGTGAAAAAAAAACAGGCAGGCCTAAGAAATGGCTTAGATACTTCAGTACAAGCACACACAAACACAGAGGTCCTGGGAAGAGGACAGAAGGAAAACACATTCTGAGATGTATCATCATCCTAAGTGAACTCAGATAACACCTAGGAAAGGCTTGGGGCATGCGGTTTTAGAGATGCTCATTGCTAGGCCCTGAGCGATGGCCTCTTGGGAGAGGGAGAGGGAGAGAGGGAGGGAGAGAGAGGGGGAGAAAGAGAGGGAGAAAATGAGGGCGAGGGAGAGAACCCAGGATACACCCTTCGTCTTATAGGGAGTCACGGGGAGACAGTAAGAAGAGAATTAACATTGGGCCTGAGTGTTAACTCAGAAATGTTAACACAAAAACTCAGAAGTTCAGAGACAGACAGGCTAACAAAAGGCATGGTCCAGAGTCAGGCTCAAGTGAAGAAATACAGGGGGAAGCGCTATCCAAGCAGATTTCAGAGACATACAAGGGCACAAGAGGGCCCCCCCTCCCCCCGCCTCCGGTCACTCGTGCCGGCCGCTGTCCCCGGCCCAGCAGCCAGCCCTCCGCGCCGGGCTCCCCTCCAGGTCGCCACTTCCCAGCTGTGACGCGGGAGATTCTTTCACACCAATGGGGCCGCGGTGCAGCCGGGCCCTGCCCCTCCCCCAGGAAGGTGTGTCCCTGGTTTCCTCACCTGAAACTTCCTAAGAGAACCAGGTCCCTCCCTCCGGCCGGGCGGGGAGGGGCGGGCGCGGGCGCGGGTGGGGCGGCTGTGGCGTCCAGGGCCTGTGCTGGGGACGGCCGGCCGGCGCCTGGGACCCGGAGGGACTCTGGTGCCGGGACAGCATGTGACACTGCCCAGGTGGGTGCCCTCCTCCCTCGCAGCTCCTGGCTCTGGGCTGGCGGCTGTAGAGTCCTGGCGGAGGTAAGGGAGGGTTGGCCAGGACGGGAAACTAGGCCTTTACCCTGGGGCCAGCCCCAGCCCGGTCCCAGGGCGCAGGCTCCGGAAACGGGGGGCTGGGCAGATGGGCAGAGTTTGGGGCGTGTGACTATCTTGGTCAGGAAGGGGAGGGAAGCTGGAGGAAATGCTCTTGCCTGAAAAATTCGCTTCCGGCCTGGCCCCTTCCTTGGAACTGGGCACCCTGCCCCCAGATGTTCTCCAGGCCAATAATAGGACGCTTCCAAGTTTCGGCCCTGGGGAGAGCTGACCCTATAATAAGGGATTACTGAGACTCGGTTGTGGAACGTTTTCCCCACCTGTGGATGTCTTATTATCTCCTTTTTCTTAACTAGGCCTGGGCCTTCCTTACTTACCTTCCTATGGATTTGCACACTGTGTATGTCTCCATATTTACCTTTCCCTTGCTAGCCAAGGTACTTTCACCTGTAAAAATGACTCCTGCCCTGGCCCCCTTCTCTGGTTCCCCATATCTGGGGAGTCCCTCCAAAGTTTCCTGTCAAGCACAGTTTGCATTCTCAACTTGGGGAGGTGGGAAGGGAGCTGTTTATAGTTGGGCTTGGGGCTCTCCTTCTGAGCATCATTTAAAATTGCTTTCAGCAAGACTGTCCTCAGAGAGCTAGTCCTGATGCCAGTTCAGCTAGTCCTGAGCTAGTTCAGATGTCAGTCCCTTCTCCCCTTCCTGGATCTTGGATTCCCAAGACAGGTTTGCCCTTCTGTCTACCAAAGTGAACTCTGGCCAGGAGTCTTGTCAGATTGAGGGAGAGGGGTGTGTCAGACAGACAAGGGAGAGAGTGTGGCTTTCTTTTCTAGCTTCTTCCCTCTTTTGCTTCCCCCATGTCATTCTAAGGCCCTGCATCCTTGTCCTACTCCAGAAATCCCAGCTCCTAGCTCAACAGCTCCCAGCTCAACAGCTCCCAGCTCAACAGCTCCTAGCTCAACAGCTCCTAGCTCAACAGCTCCTGATGTGGCCTTTCTCTCAGACTTCCTGTTTTAGCTACACCAGAGAGTGAAAGAAGAGACTGGCCTAGATCCTAGCAAAATGGGAATCATTTGTTAACCAGTCTGTGGACCTGAAACTGAAGCCATGTCTACTGAGGGGATTCTTGGGGGGGTGGGGCTGAGAGGAGGAAGGACGTAGGTGTCAATTTTGAGTGAGACTGTCTGGCAGGAGGAATGTATGTCATTATCATGGTAGGGAAGAGAGAGAGGTCAGGAGGTGTGCAAAGGTATCCCTCTTACCAAAAGAAAACAGTGATTCAAAACATAGTCAAGAGTCTTCATGTCCTTGGGGTCCCAAGAGTATATGGCTGACCACAGTGTGGTCTGTCTGAGGTTGTCTGTGGCCACATCAAGCATGGTGTCTTTGGGATAGACAAGAAGATGTCATTTGTGGTGTCTGGAGTGGTCAGTCACTGTGGTGTGGACAAGAATGGGCCACTCACAGGGCCATGGATTGAGCAGTGTTACTCAATGTCAGGTAGCTTACAACATCTGGTGTAGACAGGGTAAGTCATTCACTTACCCTGTCTGTGAAGTGAACAGGAGCTGGTCATTTATAGTGTCTGTAAGGTGGGCAAGAACAAGATCACCTCTCAGGGGCTCTGCTAAGGACACAAAGAAGTCACTCACACATAATCTGTCTGGATGGCAGGGGGCGGCCACAGTGGGCTTGTGGGGCCTGTCAGCATTGATGTTCTGTGCGGGCCCATGCGGTCTGCAGAGCAGTGGAGGTTGTGATATTCTCAGACATTAGGAATAGATAAGAGCCGGTTATTATAGTTTTCACTGGGATGGTGGGGCTTTTCTAAAGTGGATAGAGCACAGGTCTTTGCAGTTAGTGGTCCAGATTGCTACTCTAATTTTTATATATGTGTAGCATTGGGGGCAATAATGTCAAACACTGATAAAGGCATCCATCTATGTGGGAGTCTCAGTTTCTATATTTAAAAAAAGTGATTTGGGGGTATTTTCCTAAGATAAGCAGTAGTATAGACGATGTAGTATGAATGCAGAAGTGTTGCAATCTCAAGTGTTTTAGTGATTTTTGGTGTGGATCAGAATATTTGAAACTGCCATTGCTAGAAAATCCAGGAAGCAGATACTTAGACCTACACATAGCAGGCAGCATGGGTTCGAAGGAGAAGCAGCAGTGTGATGGAGGTGGGTGGCGGTGAGGGGGCTGTCTTTGAAATAGTGTTATGTCTGCAGACTAGAAATGGACAAGAGCTAAGATGTTTGGGGGATCCAAGGGAGGTACTGCGCTCTGTCATACACTGTTAATGGGGTGACTTGCAGATTTGTCTTGAAAGAAGTCATAGGTGGGACGGGGTCAGCAGATGCAACATGTGTCTGCTCTGGAAGGTGCCATGCTCAATCTGTCTGTGCTCAGTTACTGAGCTTCGCCCCATAGAGAAGGGGGTGAGGAGGCAACTGTAACAATGGGCAGTGCAAAAACTCTCTCCTGGTGTCTTTATGTGCTTTGCCGATTTCCTAGAGCTTTGTCATGTTGTAGGTTTGTGGTGCCTAATTATAATAGGGTTATAATAGGACAGGATCAAGTATAGGGAATGGTGTCTGAGCTGGTGACCACCAATATTTCCAAATGGATAGACTGTGTTAGAAATACTGTCAATGGGATTGCAGGAGGCACACGTGCGTGTGTCACTTGTATGGAACTGAAGATGTCCAGGGGGTCACATCACAGTATCCATAGTGATTATAGTATTTTGTCCTTAGGGCTAGACATAGGGAGCAAATCTTGCACTGTGTCAATTAACTGGAAAAGGATATTAAAACCCTCCTACACAAGTGTGCTTATGTTAGACATGGTGGCTCTTTGCCCTGTATAGATGGTATTTGTGTCTATGGGGTGGCCCGGAACTTGTCACATACTTATCACATCTGTAGGGTGTTTAGGGACCTGCTTGTTTGGTTATGTCAGTCTCTATTGTGTAGAAACTGCAAGGGTGGCTCATTTTGTGTGTGTGTGTGTGTGTGTGTGTGTGTGCACATGCAGGTACGTGCATGTGGATGGGTGCTTGTGCAAGCATGTGCACAAGTGCAATACCTTAGCAGGACAGTGGGCATTTGGGTGGTGGGCTTCCACTTTAAGCCCAAACCAGACAAGGAGGGTGCAGGTCCAGGTGCACCTGTGTATTCCATAGGCCCCTGAGGTCTCTCCAGGCTGGTGACCTTCCAGCTTTCTTACACCTGAACTTCTAGTTGCTTATAGTTGAGTTGTCAGAAGACCTTGGTTAGTTCACCTGTACCAATTGCTTATGTGAGCAAGTGTTTAGATTATCTGACCTTCAGGCTCCTCATTTAACTTAAGCAGTTTTCTGTCTGTCTCTGAAGGTCCTTCCAGCTCATAAGTCCGGTATGTCTCTCTTACACTTATTCTCTCTCATCAACCATAATTACAATCCCTAACATTTTTATGATCTTTACATTTAACAATGCACTTTTTGTACTGTCGTACTTAATTTTCATTAGAATTCCTTGCAAAGAAAATATCTTTCCCTTTTATAAAGATAAGAAAATGGATGTTTAAGTGATTTTCACAATTGCTTTAAAATTAGCAAGATAACAAAAAGGCAGAACTGGAAACTGAACAGCGCTCTTTCACCTCTGTATTCGTCCTTCCTCCATTCATCCGCTCAATCAATCATTGTTGAGGGCCAACTAAGCTTCAAGCAGAGGGCTAAGCAGTTAACATTGCAGTTTTTGTGCCCTTATGAGAACAGACACTAAATATGTAACTCCAAGTGCAATGGGTGTGGGAAAGTAGAGGCTTCTCTTGGGTAGGAGCAGAGGATTCTAGGCCGAGGAGCAGCACTGAAGGCCTACAGGAGAGAGGGAGGTGAGCCAGAGGGACTGAAGGCCAGTGGGGTGGGGGCTGAGGAGGGGGAAGAGGTAGGCAGAGGCCCGGTTGAGGAGGGTACATAACCCATGCTGGATATTTGTATTTCATCCTATTGGCAGTTAGAGGCTACTGAAGAATTTAAACTAGAAGTGGGGCTTTTGAGACTCAGTCAAGTGCTGGGTAGAGAATGCCTTAGGAAAAGGGCAAGAGAAGCTATGTGGAGGCCAGTGGCCAGGCTCTGCCCCAAGTGCAGTGGCCTGAGTGAGAGAGGACAGCAGCCTGCGTAGGGTCTAGCAGTGGATTTGGAGAGAAGAGGACAGACTTGAAGGATATTGAGGAGATGGGGTTAGTAGGACTTGGTAGCTAGATTAGATATGGGAAATGTAGGCCAAGAGAGAAACAAGAATTTATTCTGTAATTAAAAGGTATTTATTGAACACTTAGTATAGGTCAGGTAGAGAGCTATGTATAGATATTTGAGCAGTACAGATGTAGTTCTTTATCTCAGGACATTTACCACCTATTGTTTGAGATAGATGGTAAATCAGAATACACACATCCTATATAATAAAAGCCTAATATGCTAAGTGTCTGGTCGTCTGGTCGGCCATTCAACCAATGAAAGTGTAATATGTTAATGATATGCTAAAGCTGCTCAACGTCTCACTATGACGTGCACTGACCACCAGGGGGCAGATGGTTGACAGTCGCTATGACATGCACTGACCACCAGGGGGCAAACACTCCGACCCGTATGTTAGCTTGCTGCTGGGGTCTGGCAGATCAGGACTGAGCGAGATAGGCCAGACATGACCTGGAGCCCTCCCGCAGTCCCTCCGGCTGGCTAACCTCCCATGTCCCTCCCCAGCCCCGTGTGCACCGGTGGGGTCCCTCAGCCTGGCCTGCACCCTCTTGCAATCTGGGACTCCTTGGGGGGTGTCCGAGAGCTGGTTTCAGCCTGATCCCACAGGCCAGGTTGAGGGACCCCACTGGTGCACGAATACCAGGTCTCTAGTAATTATATAATAATCATAATTGTGTAAATGCTACAGAGGAGAAGAGAAGTGCACTATAATTGATAAGTGCTACAAAGAAGAACACAGTAACGTAGAGGATTGGGGAAAATGTAAGAGGTTAAATCGGTAAGTTGTAGTCTCACAGATAACAAGAAAGAGAGTATTTCTAATGTCGGTAGTGTCAAATACTGACAAGAACCTCCAAAATAAGCATTCATAGAGTCTCCTTTGCAGTTAACAACTAGAAGATTGTAGGAGACGCAGGCGAGATGTGAGGCTGTGAAGACAGTAGGTATGAGCAACTCCCTTTACAGGTTAGAAAAATGAGAAAGGCATAGACATGCTTAAATGCTAGTGAGATAATTCTAGCAGAGGTGATGGTGAGAGGAAGGTCACCCTTAGCATAGGGTCCCTGAGAAGGGAGTCTGAAGAAGGTGGTGCTTTGAGAGGAGGGACGCCTGCCCTGTTGGAGGAGGAAAGATGGAGAGAGCAAAACGCAGGTCTCTCTGAGTTGCAAGAAACTGGAGCAACTTTAGTTTCTCCATATTCTCCTTTCCTTTGGTTTCTCAATATTTTGCAAAGAATTTGCTGAAGTGAGAGCAGGGGTGGGAAGGTCAAGATTTTGATGAGTAATGAGAAGAGTTCACAAGGTTGTTGGAGAGAAAAAGTAAGATAATGGAGTAACAGTTTTATGGACCTACTTGAAGCAGGAAACCTCGGTATTCTTTCAGTTCTAATCTAACAAGTCATTCTGCTTTATGACAGCTGCCTTTCTAATTGAAAACAAAATTGTTAATTAGTTACAGGGCTGTGCGACACTATGAAAAATGAGATGAGCGCAGTCCAGACCCAGTATAAAGGCAGTTACACTACACTTTGCCTTGGACATGGGTTATAATGACCAGACCTGTTTTAACCCCCATCAGCAGATGAGGAGGAAGGTCCCCCTGAAACACTGCTTCTCGTGCTGTTAGACCTTGGGCGTGTCACTCAGTGTCTGGGAGTTACATAGGCCTGAGTCACTCTTGATGTCCAGAGAGTAGACAGGGAGAGACAATATGACATAATACCATCTAGGAGGAATGACCATTGGGGAACTTGGCACTCTGACAACGAGGGTCTAATTCAATCACTTCCTATCTGTCTCTCCCACAAGACAGCAGGCTCCATGAGGACATTATCTCCTTCACTACCGAATGTCCCCCACTTGAAAGGGTCACTTGCTAAGTACTTATTAAATGGGCAAATAAATGACAAGTTTTATAGAGGCTGTTGCTTATTTTGTTGTGTACCTTTTGTCTCAAAGAATGAGTCTATGGAGAGCCAAAGAAATGTCCCACTCTTGTTCTTCATGGTCTGCCCCTCTGGTAGTTACAAGCAGAAGAGGTGATAGAAACTTTGTCTTTTATGCCTCTTTAGGATTCAGCCCCGATGGAGGCTGCGGAGCCCCGGAGTGGAGCACCGGCTCCCAAAAAACCTGCTGTAGCAGAATTCAGTGTTGTCCCTGAAGCTCTTGTGAGAAGCAGCCAGCCCCCTGCCGTGGGGCCCAAAGCTCAAGAAGACCAGGACCCATCCTATACATGGGCAGAGGAAAGCAGACTCTGGGAGACCCAGCGGAGAGATTTAAGAAATGTGAATGACTGTGCAACTGAGAGCATGACCTCTTTCCCCCAGGAGGCCCCTTTGGATGTGGAGACCAAGCAGGAAAACCTTATGGCCAAGGCCTGGGACACCCCAGAGTGCCAGGAGGCAGTGCCCGCGAGCCTGGCAGACAGACAGGCAAGGACACCAGCTCCTCCAGAGCACTGGGCCTGCCCTGTCCAGGGTAAACATCTGGACATGGCCCCACTATGCAGCGAACTGCGCAGCAGAATGGAGGTGGAACTCAGACCAGAATTCCCTTCTTTGACGTTGGGCACTGGACAAGCAGCAGAGAAAGAGGAAGCTTCTCTAGATGCCTCCGCTCGGGCCAGATGTTCGTCTGCCTGTGAAGAGCACCTTGTAGAGACCAACTCCCTGCAGGACTCTGAAAGTGGGACTGCCAGGCAGGGCGAGGAGCTGCAGGAAAGTCAAGGGAAAGAAAGGCTTTTGTGTCCCCAGGAGGCCAAGGGGCTGGAGGTGCAGGGACAAGAAGAGGGGGAAGCCCTGGGGGAGGCTGTATGTTCTGAGGGGCTTCTAGGGGAGCAGGAACAAATGGGGGAGCAGGTTAGTGGTACACAGGGAGGACAGAGGCAAAAACAGGGACAGATGCAAGATGATATGGTGCTTGCAAAACAAGGAGAAAGGGAGGAGCCTAATGAGAAATCAGGAGGTGTGAATTGTGATGAGTGGGAGGGGAGGACTCGGGGCCAGGAAGATCTGGAAGTGGGTGAACAGAGGAAGAGGGAGTTGAAGGGGCCTGAGGAGAGTAGGATGGGTGCTCAGTACCAGGAGTATCAAAGCTTAGCCAGGAGGTCAGTGAACGTACCTGGAAGGCAAGAACATCAAGATCTGCCAGGGACACTGATGCCAGAGGAGGAGGAAGAGGAGGCAGAAGATTGGGATGGGGCCACACTGGGGAGAGTGGGAGGAGAGAGCATTGCAGAGGAGGGGGAAGAGCATGATGGTCTTCCCACACTAGCCCCCATGGTTTATTCTCCCTGTGACTTGTTCCCAGATGCTTATAATGCCAGGATTCCTGGTTCTCAGACAGAGTTTAGGGCTGAGGAGCTTTGTCCCAAAGCTCAGACTCCTACCCTGGAGCCAATAGGATGTTCCTGTCAGTCCAATCCTTCACCTCGCTTCTCTTCTGCTGGGGGGCCACCTGCTCAAGAAATAGCTCGGGACCCCCAGCCAGAGGGTTCCCAGTTGGGGACAGGGACAGCTTCCAGTGGGAGGCCCCAGGTGGCCTCTGCTGGTGCACCTGAGACTTCTCCAAACTCACCAGATTCAGCTCCCTCCACATTTGTTGAAGTCTCCCCCAGCAGAGCCGCCTTGCTGGCTGCCAGCCCCCCAATTGCCATCCCCAGGACAAAGGCCTCTCTGGCTGCATATTCTCCAGAAACCACCAGAGCCTCTTTCTCCACCGACATCCCATCTGCCTGTGGGGCTTCTGAGACTCTCCTGGCAGCCCTCCCTGGCTCCCCCTCTTCAGAGGCTACCGTGGACCCACATGGAAGCTCCAATGGGGCCATTCCTCAGAGCCCCCTAGCTGACTTCACAGGGGCCATCCAGCAAAAGATCACTTTCCTTCTCTCATTCAGAGTTGCCTCAGAGACCTCCCAAAGCTGCCATCCATGGCTCTGTGAACCCAAGAAGGGACAGGAAAAGCAGTAGGGACTGCAGCGTTATTCCAGAATTCCCTAGTTCATTGTCCACTCTGGGGCATGACTCTGGAGACTTTACCTCTGATCCACACAGGCCCAGCAGTCCCCACAGCAGCCAGCCATGGGGCTCCCCACATAATTCAGCCTTTGCCCCAGGGTCTCCTATATATGGCTCTTCACCTGTCTTCGTAGATACGAGGCTGCATGAACCTCCACCTCCTGCTCCTCCAAAGAAGAGGCACGTCCACCCCTCCGCGGTGGAGAGAGACGGCCATCTCAGTGCAGCGGTCCCCACACTGAGGCACTGTAGCTACCCTCCATTGGCCCTAAGTTCAGGGCTCTGTGGCCCCCCCAAAGTTCCACTTCCTGAAATTCCTGACCCCCATGTGGCAAGGCAGTACCGACCTCTGCCCTCTACCCCAGATGATTCCCAGCATAGTCGGACTTCTTCCTCCCCAAGGCTGAGATACAACAAGCCATTACCCCCAACTCCTGATTTGTTTCAGCCCCACCATTCTCCCGTTTCTCATAATAGTCCAAGGATCTACAGGCCTCTACCCCCTGTCCCTGTCATAAATCCCCTCACCGAACCACCACCATTACCCCCGAAGGCCAGAGGGAGGAACAAGAGCCTTCAGGGAGCACTCATGAATTCAGGGGGTCAAGCCAAGGCCAGGCCTGTTGGTCAAGAGTGGGCAGTCTCCAGTCCCCACTCTGGAGGACGTACTTCCTGGCCCCCAGCCATGGGCAGATCAACAGACTCTTTGGCTTCCGCCAGTAGGAGAAAGAGTGAAGTATCCCCTGACATAGCTTTCAGCAACCCGACGAGCCTTCCAAGTCCCTCTTCCCCAGCCACCCCCTGGACTATGGATCTCCAGGAACCCACCTCTGAACCACGGCTCTCAGAAGAGTCAGAGGCCCCTGCCAAAGGATCTTTAAGAAGAACAGACCCTCAGGAAGGAGCCAGTAGCCTGAGGAGGTCGGATATAGGTCGAACAAGGCAGCCTGAAAAACCCAGCCATCCCCACCTGGAGAAGGCATCCAGCTGGCCCCACAGGCGGGACTCAGGGAGACCACCACAGGGCAGTGGTGAACAGGCTGCCATCTCTGGTGAGGGCTCCAATAAGCACAAGGGCTGGCATCGGCAAGGCCTGCGCAGACCTTCCATCTTACCTGAGGGCTCTTCAGGTGAGCAAGGAGCACTCATCAGACCAAGCTTTCTGTAGCTCTTACCACCTCATCTATCTTCTATCCCAGGACTCCTCCTATTCCCCCTGCTGGCTTCACTCACCCACATATCCAACCCCAACACAGAGGGAAGTCCTTGGAAGCCTCTGAGCTCACTGTGATGCTCTTCCTTCTCCTTCCCTGCATCTCCGTTTGTCACCCAACCATGGTGTTTTCATTGTGTGTCACATTTCCTAAGGTTTTGGTGGACACTCTTCCCTACCCCCAAACACACCCCACTTTCCAGTTACCAGCACCTCTTGATGTCCTCCTCATAGTAGAGAAGACATCATCTCCTTGTCCAATCTACGTTCTGACATGAGGGATGTGTTCATACCTCCCAGTCGTGTCATCAGATGCTTTCTACTTTGGCACTTCCCTCACAGATTCCCAGATCAGCCTTTTTTCCCCCTCCCCAGGTGCCTACATCTCTCTGTCTTACTTTCTTCAGCTATCTCTAAATGTTCCTCTGAAACTTCAGTTACTTCATCCATTTCCCTTTTCAGATACAAGAGGCCCAGCCACGGAAAAGCCCCCTGGCCCTTCAGACTCCATTGTTTTTCGGTGAGTCATCCCTCCCAACCAGCACACTTGTACTCTCTTTTCTTAGCATACTGAGATTTCTGTTAGTTGACACGGGTTCTGGGACCCTGTCTCTTCCAGAGGGAAGGAGAGGAAGAGACAGACACCAGGATACCAGGGTAGGGAGCCTGGTATCCTTTGATCTACCTGGTTTTGTTACCTAAGTCTTAATTTTCCATCCTCCTAGGCCCTTTAGCCATGAACTAAACCCCCTGTAAAAATTCAACATGACATCCAAGAAAGCTCCAAACTACCCCAAAATGGGTCATGACATCCCAGCATACATCCCAGAGGTTAGAGACTATGCCGTCTACAGTTACCTGGGGCTCCTCGGTATCTAAGGGCCAGCAAGCACCCCAGAGCCCTTCTTTGCTCCACAGGGAGAAAAAGCCAAAGGAGGTGATGGGAGGCTTTTCAAGACGCTGCTCAAAGCTCATCAACTCCTGTGAGTATATTGAAACAGAACTATGGATGCACATAGGTGTTGTGCCCAAGACTGGGGAGGGGCTTATGGCTGCCAGCAGGGTTGGGGACACCTACAGGAAGAGAAAACTGCCAGGAGAGCCAGAAAAAGTCTGGTGGCTTCGGTCTGTCTCTGTGCCTAATTCCCCTGTCTCCCTAATTCTCTCCCTCTTCCACACTGCTTCACCCCACAGCCCAGCTGCTTTACCAGGAGTACAGCGATGTGGTTCTGAACAAGGAGATTCAGAGCCAGCAGCGGCTGGACAGCTTGGCAGAGGCCTCTGGGCCCGCCTCCCCCCGGCAGCCCCGAAAGGTCCTGGTGTCCTCAGAGTCTTACCTGCAGCGCCTCTCCATGGCCTCCAGGAGCTCCCTCTGGCAGGAGATCCCTGTGGTGCGCAATAGCACTGTGCTGCTCTCCATGACCCATGAAGACCAAAAACTGCAAGAGGTACCCAACAGAGCAGGGTGGGGGCAAGAGAGAGGGATGCAGGAGGGGAAGCTCACATTTTATCTCCTCATCAGTACCACCTCCACCACCACCACCACCACCTCCACCCATCACCACACACTCATGCATCCCAAGCTGTCAACCATCTCCACTCCAACGGACTTCAATTGCTCTCTGAAGATCATCACCCGCCTGCCTCTCCACCTCCTTCTGCCATGGCCATTTACTGCTACCTGGTGTTGGTTCAGACTCATACAAAGTGGCCAGGCGTAGAATTAATCCCATCATTAGTGCTTCAGGCTAGACAGAAATTTCCGTCTTGAACCATGGTTTCAGGCTCTGCTAAAGATTGCTACTTCAACCAAGGCACACCAGGGGCTTTCTGTTGTATCCCTTGAAGACTGAGTGCCCCTTGTGCCTGACCTGTGGTCCATTGGACTCAGAGGCTTTTGAATGACCATCAGTCTCTGCTTGGTCCTTAGCCCCAAAGCAAGACTGTAGTAGAGGTTGTGTGTCTGATGTCGGTACCATGAATGGGTTTTATCTGGAGAGCTTTGCTGATAACCAGCCTGGGATAAACTTTTCTTCCCAGGAAAGTAAAATAGTACAACATAAAGGTTTCCTGGAATAATGTCTAAGTATTAAGGTTTCAGAGTCAATGACCTGGAAGCCCACTTTAATGTTTGTCAGTTATTTAACTCTGGCCTAATTACTTACTCTTTCTAAACTTCTGTTTCCTCATTTGTAAAATTGCATTACAAAGAGGTACTGGGAGAGTTTAAAAAAAAAGATAAGTTTCTAATATATAGTAATTATTCAAAGCATGTTCATGACTTTAATTTCGAGTTAGGCCAACCCAGGTTTAAAGCCTTGCCTTGCCATTTACTAGCTGTGTCACCTCAGGCAAATTATATAACTGCTCAGTCCTGGTTTCCTCATATAAAAATTGAAGATAATGAATACCTACCTTTCAGGGTTGCTACATGGTTTCAGAGAAATGACACGTATCTAGCTTTAAACAGAGTGTGTGGCACATTGTTTGGTATGCATTAGTGGCATACTCACCCCTTTCAGAAGTGGGAAGGAGAAACATTTGGGCCAGAAGGCCTTACGGATAAACAATGCTTTTACCAAGTCAAACAGACAAATGTAAATTTTAGGATTTTTGAAGCTCAGACTTGGGGGACCCTGTTCTGACCTCAACTTCCAAAGCACCTGGAGGATATTTAGAAAATCAGTTCTTCTCTGCCCCGTGTTTGTGAACCAGACCCTGGGAGCTGGTTCAAACCCAGCTCCCTTTCAGCATCTCCAGCATCCTCACAGGTCCACGTGGCTCCCGGGCCAGCCGGTCTCACATTTCTGGGAAGAGAGGCCTCTACGCTTATAAGCACATATTTCTTTCATAAAATAGCACTTCTCGGGTCTGTAAGATGCTTTCACTGACTCCATTTCTTTTGACTGTCACATGTTTGTGAGGTTGGGTCACTGTCCCTGCCCCAAAAGGCAAGAAAACAGCTTCAGAGAGATCAAATGAGACATCCAAAGCCACATAGTCAGAGTGTCAGGTCCAAGACACAGACACAAATGAATCTCTGAGTTCTCTGGCTCATTCTCCCAGTTACCCAACTCAAAAACTGAGGCATTAGCTGGCACTCTTCCTGCTCTTTTAGAGTCCATTTCTAGCAAATAACTAGGTCCTTCCCCGTGTCCCTCCTGAATAGTCATGAAACTGGCCCCTCCCATCCCCATGGCTATTTAGGCCTTCATCTCTCACCTGGACTTAATACGGCAGTTTCCTAACATGGCTCTCTTGCCCCTTCTAATCTTTTCTCCACACTGTGCTTAGAAACACATTGATGGTCAAGTTATTCCCCTATGTAGAGCCTCTCTTTGTTTTTCTTTGGTATGAAGCCCACCAAAGTCCTTTGCCTTGTTCACTTAACTCTCCAGACTGCCATGTTTGCCTCTCTGGCTTCCTCTCCTGCCCCTACTTTAGTACATGGTTCTGCAAATGTTCAGTGTATGTTTCTGGAAAGCATCTTTCTCTATTACACCTCTGGGGCCTGCACATGTTCTCCCCTTGGCTTCGATGCACCTTCCCTCTCCCTGATACCAGGTTAGGTCTCACTGTGACGGTGAGCTACAGACGGATCTCTCTTGTTCACCACTCTACCCCTAAAACATACACCAGGGACTCAAAATGTGTTGTACATTAATCTTCCTCCTCCCCAACTCCTAGGCCAAATTTGAGCTGATTGTGTCAGAGGCTTCCTACCTGCGCAGCCTGAACATAGCTGTGGATCACTTCCAGCATTCACCCCAGCTCCGGGCCATCCTTTCCAACCAAGACCAGCAGTGGCTCTTCTCTCGTCTACAGGACGTGCGTGATGTCAGTGCCACGTAAGACACCTCTTCTCCCAAATGCTACTCACTCCGCCTCACTGTCTTTAGCCTATAAACCTTCAGTAGGTATCTTTTTCCTTCTCAGAAACCCTCTCACTGCTCCCTCTGAGATTCCCAATGGCTGTAGGGAGAGGAGGAAATAGTAGAGGAGAGGATGGATAGAGCCATTGGTGGATGAACAAATCAATGAGAGATGCCTCCTGGGTTGAGTTTTGGATGTACTGTGGGTACGCAGTGCATTGGAGACGAGATTTGGGAAGCATCTAAAGGTTAGAAAACCAGAACATATTCCAGAAAAGAACAAGAAATGGAATATTAGGACCAGAGCGTTAGATCATGGGAAAACTAGGAGCAGCCTCAGAGAGAACGTAAGTGTAGAGCAAGGGGCACAGAGCAAAGGACAGAAGTTATTCACTAACTGAGAGATGTCACAGATCAGGTAGAGCAGGGCTCAGCCAGCTGCTCACTTGAGACCCACAGGTCTCATGAGACTTGTTTGAATATTGCGCAGGTTCCTTTCAGACTTGGAGGAGAACTTTGAGAACAACATCTTCACCTTCCACGTGTGTGATGTAGTCCTGAACCATGCCTCCCACTTCCGCCGGGTCTACCTGCCTTATGTCACCAACCAGACCTACCAGGAACGCACCTTCCAAAATCTGCTGTGAGACCCAAACCCCGTTCAGTCCCTGTGTGGGCCTGTTAGTGACCTTGCATCCAAAGTTCCAACCCCTGATCCAGAGTGCTATCACCTGAGCACATATTCTGTGCCTGTTCTGTGATCTCAAGCCCCAGTGCCTTCCAGATCACAGGCCCTGGACCATTAGGTCTCAGCTCCATGTCATTGGATCTCACCATCCTTCCCTGACCCACAAACATTCCACTGTGTCTCCACTCCGCATGCCTTCCCTGTGGCCCACTATTCCCCACCCACCTTACCCACTTGCTGTCTGACAGGAGCACCAATAGCAGCTTCCGCGAGGTCCTAGAGAGGCTGGAGAGCGACCCTGTCTGCCAGCGCCTGTCCCTCAAGTCCTTTCTGATCCTGCCATTCCAGCGCATCACCCGTCTCAAACTGCTGCTCCAGGTACAGACCCCACCTGGGATTCTCCCCTCAGCTCAAAAGGGTGATTTCAGGAAGCCCTACAACACAGGTCTGGCCCTTCTGCACTGTCCTACACCCTGTGGACAAAGTGCGCAGTCTCCCCACCACCCACACCCTTTTTTCTCAGGGTTAATTTGCTACTAAAATTTTGTTCCTGGACCTCTCCCAATGGCCCACCCCCATCATCTCTTCCTGTTTTCCACCCTTCTTCCATCTGGCTGCTGTTTGTTCTATAGAACATTCTGAAGAGAACACAGCCTGGCTCCTCAGAGGAAGCAGAGGCCACGAAGGCGCATCATGCTCTGGAGGAGGTAGGTGGCCCACAGTTCCCCTCACGGAGAAGTCTTCCCCTGTCCAGGTCCATGGCCACTGCTGATGGGATTACCCAGGTACCTCCTGCACCCACCAAACCTCCCTCCGCACCCACAGCCTCCTCCCACCATGAGGACACTGCAGGCACTCTCCAAATTCCATCTTGCTTTCACTTAGCCCAGGAATGTTGACCCTGTCATAGCAAATACACCAAGAGTCCTGAAATGTTACCTAGATACCACCTTCATGCAGGTCAAGCCTGGTGGAAAAGCTGTCACACCTACTGATTTCCAGATTTCTTTCAGGGCCTCAAAGGTCAAACCTCTAACACAGTGCCCTTCCTCTTTCCTCACCCTGCTCTCCTGGCAGCTGATCCGAGACTGCAATAACAACGTCCAGAGAATGCGCCGGACAGAGGAGCTCATCTACCTGAGCCAGAAGATTGAGTTTGAATGCAAAGTGAGTGAGTCTTCGGCATGTCAGCAGGTTACCTGCTAACACAGAGTCCTCTGGCTCTCACCATGCCAGTCTCTAACCTCAGTCTGCATGCCTCTGTTCTGTCCTATTTCTGGGGTGCCCAAATGCCTACTTTATTCTCCATGATACCCCACTAAGTGGAAAAGGGGAGAGATAACAGAAGAACTGTGTGTATTACCTTTGATGGAAAAGTAGGAGGGTGCAAATCTGTACATGCATTTGCTTGTAAAGAAACTCTGGGAGGAGACATAAGAAATAAAGAAGTTACCTGAGGGGCATAGTGTACACCTGGGAACTGGGCAGATGAAAGAAAACTTATCAATTCAAGTCTTTATAAAGATATGAGAGGCAGAGTGCACGGATTCGTGCATCAGTGGGGGTCCTTCAACCTGGCCTGCGCCCTCTTGCAATCTGGGACCCCTCGGGGGATGTCGGACTGCTGGTTTTGGCCCAATCCCCGCAGGCCAGGCCAAGAAACCCCCCTGGTGCATGAATCTGTGCGCTGGGCCTCTAGTATGCATATAAGATCTTTGGTTAATCTCTTCCCATCCTCCCCCCTTCCCTCTTCCCTCTGAGATTCATCAGTCTGTTCCATGTTTTCATGCCTATGCGTTGAGTGTCTGGCCCCTGGTGGTCAGTGCGTGTCATAGCTACCGGTCAAACGGTCGAACAGTTGCTTAGGCTTTAATATATATACTAGAGGCTCGATGCAAGAAATTCGTGCAAGTGTAGGCCTTCCTTTCCCCGGCTGCTGGCACCGGCTTCACTCTGACACCCAGGACCCAGGCTTCCCTTGCAACCCTGGCTTTGTTCGAAGGGCATCCAGTCTAATTAGCATATTACACTTTTATTATTATAGATATAGATATTTTTGGTTCTTCAACCAACCAATATTTTATCTCAATCTAGTGTAGCCCAACCAATAAAAAATTGAATCCAAATCTATGGCCAAGTCTCCCATCCAAATGCAAATCTACAATAGACATTCCACATTTAAATTCCATCTCAGAGCAGATGCCATTCTTATTTCCCTGAGAGAGGGCATACTTCTGATCCCCATATCTATCTTAGTTTCTACCCTTATCTTTGCCCAAATTCCAGCTCCAAGCAGATTCTACCTTGTTCTCCTTAATCCTATTCCCACTTTGGATCTCAGCTACTCCTCTCATGTCTCTGGTTATAATAAAAGAAAGAACAGATATCAGAACTGTCCAAATCTTTTAACTTCTAAGACACATACATAGTGTTCCCTGCCTTCTTCCACTAAATGCCCTAATTGGGCTTTTCCATGCCTTCTTCAGTTCAGGTTTCTAGGGCCAAGCTTTCTCATATGTTCACTATTTGGTGTTGGACCACAGGTACCTTCTATTGCCTGAGTTATGGACATGGGAGCTGTACCATTACATGATGGTTGGAGGGTTCACAGGGAAGCAAAGTCTAAGGGGTGGGTATGAGCAAGAGGGAAGATGTGGAAGAGATGATTGTCAGTGGACCTCATGAGAAAGGGGCATAGTGAGGTGGGCCTTGTGCTTGTCCAATCTGAGACACTGCCTTCTCTGCCCTCCTCTACCCTACAGATATTCCCGCTCATTTCACAGTCACGCTGGCTGGTGAAGAGTGGCGAGCTGGCTGCCCTGGAGTCCAGTGTCTCTCCAGGGCTGCGAAGGAAACTGAACACACGTCCAGTCCACCTGCATCTCTTCAATGACTGTCTGTTGCTGTCTCGGCCCCGAGAGTCAGTGATTGGAATGGGAGGACAGAGCACAAGAGGAAAATGGGAGAGGCAAGAGGGGAGGACAGAAAGGGACAGAGAGGAACCCTAGAGGAATCCTAGAGGAACCCTTCTCAGTGGCCTAACCCATGGAGCCCAGGTCATGGTATAGAGAAGAAAGAGAAAGATCCAAAGCAAAAAAGGGGATCCCACCAAATATGCCACAAGATCACATGGGAAGACCTGTACCATATTATAGACACAGAGCAAAATGCAACAAATTAGTTATCACTTTCCCAATCAGTTAGTTTGTGGCTTCTTTGGACTAGGCTGAGCCTACTAGCCCGAAGATACTTAGCCAATTCCAGATCCGCAGGGTCTTAGAAAATTTATATTGGTCTGTCTCTGCAACTCTTTAAAGTGGTGAAGTATCCATGATATTAGATATGTGGTTTGCCAAGCTAGTGACACATACCTGGGGATGCTGGATCTACCATCTTGAGAGTGAGCAGCATCGTATGGTTTTTATGAGAATTTGCAGGCTACCTATGCTAAGGACAAGGAGTTGGGATCCTAAAGTCTGGGGGTGGATAAAGTATGACAACTCTAGAATCTGGTTGAAAAGCCTTGTATTTTGCAGGGGTGGCCGATTCCTGGTGTTTGACCATGCTCCCTTCTCCTCTATTCGGGGAGAAAAGTGTGAAATGAAGCTACATGGACCTCACAAAAACCTCTTCCGACTCTTCCTGCTGCACAACACGCAGGGCACCCAGGCCGAGTTCCTCTTCAGCACGGAGACTCAGTGAGATGGGGCTGTGCAGAGGAGCTGGGGGGAGGGAGACCTGGAAGCCCAGGAAAGAAATGGGACCAAGACAGGAAGTGTGTCCAGAAAATAGCCACGGCACTATATAGTCCTTGCTGGACTGGGGAGCATCCACAGAGAAATCCAAGTTTCTGGAGCTAATAGACGCCTACAGGACATTGGGGTGGGTGAGGGTATATCTTCGCCACCAAGGCTTAGTATCTATTGTATTCCCTTTAACCTGGAATGACAAAGTCTGTGAGATGCCAAAAAGAGATGGACAGTATGGAGTTACTAAAGAGTTGGATTACTGACATCACCAGTGAATGCCCATGTGTGCAAGCCAGAAATTCCTCAGTGCCCAAGGCTGGTGCATATGTGAGGTGCCATTGGCTTTCCTTGCTCCCACCTTCCAACCCAGTCCTATGTTGAGCAAAAATCCATAGTGTTGAGAACTTGAATTCACTCATCTTTTAAATAATAATAAAAATACATTTATACATACATAACATTTTGGAGAATATTAAAAATAATACCTAGAAAATCTGGTATACTGTGCCAACAATAATGAACAGCTACAAAACTATACCTATCATTGATGATATAAAAGACATATGAAATGTTTCCTTTAAAAAGTTTGACATGTTACCTAATAGTCGGATCTTCATGTTTCAGACACTTTTCAGTTTTGTCCCTTGGAGGACATTTCAGGGTGGGATCACTAGTGCTGTGTTCACTTGTGGAACAGAGAGCCTGGTGCCAGAGTCTGTGTGCACAGTGTCACCTGCACTGAGTAGTCAGACATGGCCCCGTGTCCTTTACTTGGCACCTTGGGCAGCATCTTTCTGGAACAGAAACAGTGCCAGCTCTCAATTACTCTGGTGTGTTTGGAAGCCAAGGCTGAGATAATGCAAAAACCTTTAGACAATCACAAAATTAGGCTAGGATGAAAATTACATAAGAAAAATTAGGAGATACATCTCCCTGATCTAATTATGATCACAGGATGATTTTCATCTCTGAGACATTTAGTAGAAGGGAGGTGGGCAGAGTAGTGTCAAGAATTATGCAAAGTGACCAAGGGGATCTACACTGAGATGAACATTTTGCTTAGTACAATTTCCATAATGGAAAATCCACCTGTTTATAACTGACATTTGACTTTATGCCTCCACTTGAAAGATACGAGATGCCACTGACAGAATAAACTTGGAAAGAGAAAGGGAAACATAAAGGATGGCAAGACATTAACATACAGTTGAAGATCCTGTCATATTTCCTGCCAAGCAGAATCCCATTGATTTTCCCTAAATACCACTGAATTAGACAGTCTTTCCACAGTCATGTCCGTTCCCCATCTCCTTCCTTGTCCCACACCCCAGAGCTGCAGCTGGAACAATGACCCTCCTTTGTTTTCTCAGAAGTGAAAAGCTTCGATGGATCTCTGCCTTGGCCATGCCAAGAGAGGAGTTGGACCTTCTGGAGTGTTATGGTAAGTGAGGGAGAGAAAAATGGCAGGGTCAGAAGTCTCCTCTAGAGGCAGGAGTTTAGAGGGCTGGATGGTAACTTGGGGAGGCTTCCATTTATTGCTTTTGTCCAGAATTTCATGGTAGAAGCTGCCCACTGGAGGTTAAACACCTGAGACGTATCTGCTTAAAACTTCCCACCACCATGGCATTGCTGCAAACCCATGCAATCCCTTTTCGGGGCAGTAGTTTGCTCTTTTAAAATATTTGGCCCCTTAAGTCTATCCTGCCTTTTTTTAGGTGGGAGCGGGGCTGGATGTTATCTGCTTGAAGGTCTCAGGGAAATGGAGAAAGTAGGGCTGGAGTGGGAGTTATGGGAAAATATCCAAACAGTAGTTTTGTCCTAAGCACACCCTCTCCTGTAGAGGATGACGAAACCACTGCTCTTACCCCAGGCTTCCGGGTACTCACTGGTAGCCACAGACACACACCAATTATGACTGTGTCTGCATTCACGCCAAGACTGAAGTTATGGGTCTTCTATAAGCTCCATAGTGGTCCTCCAGCAAGGACTTCCTAATCCGTATCCAAAAGGAGCTGAACTTCTAGGAAGACAGGACTTTTGGTGACTCAAATAAAAGAACAAACAAATACAAGGGAATCTGGAAAAGGAAGTAGGAGAGCCCGGTTGTAAACTGAGTTCTGTTTACTTGTTCACTGTGTGATCATCTGCTGGGCTTCAGTTCTATAGGGTTGGTAAGATAGGCAAGATAACTCTTCCTCCTTCACTGTGACCCTGTGAATGGCAAAGAGGATGACTTTAGAAGAAGTGCAGATAATTAGGTGGTGTTCTGTTTGTTTTCTGAGCGCACTAGTACAGCCAGGAAAGTAGAAAGAGCAATAAACCCATAGATGATGGAATGCTTGTGGGTCAAGAATACTCTGAGGCTTGTTAACCTTGAGCTTCAAAACTGTAGGAATTTCTCGATTCCAGAATTTTCTCAAGAATCTTCTTGATCAACCTAGTCATGTACCTGGGAGAAACTGAAGCTGAAGGGGATTCAGTGCCTTCTTAGATCTTGAGCCCCACTGGTTAAGTCTCTTCCAGTCCCATGTTGAGTAGCATGAAGAAAATAAAGAATGAGTCCCAGACCCAGAACACATACATAAAATAATTAGGTAGAGGATAAATGGTCTGGCCTACATGAGCAGTTTTGAAGTTCAGTATCCACTGAGGACTAAAGAGTCAGGAAAGCTTTCAGAGTGAAGATGGATCTGGAGAATTTGTAATAATGAGTCACTAAAGTTGTTCCCAATGTATTTCTCAATTCATCTTCCCCACAGAAATAGAATTTTTGATTTATTTGAATTCTGGTATTTGTATTTCCTTGTCAGCCATTTCGTTCCTGGTAGAAGATGAAGACTTTTCCAATTGTCTCTTTTGTCTGAAGACTTTCTCGATCTCAAGTCCTCTCAGCCTCCCCCTACAATTCCTTCTCCATGTTCCAGTTACTTGCCTTTCCTAACTTCCCTTCACATCTTCTCTTCCAGATTCCCCACAAGTGCAGTGCCTTCGAGCCTACAAACCTCGAGAGAATGATGAGTTGGCTTTGGAGAAAGCAGACGTGGTGATGGTGACTCAACAAAGCAGTGATGGTAAGAAGGGGAGTCCACAAGCAGTAGGCTGGCATTGGAGTTGGATGGAAGTATTCTCTTCTTAGGGCTTCTATAACAAAGTACCACAAATTGGGTGGCGTAAAACAATGGACATGTATTCTCTTGTGGTTTTGGAGGCCCTGAGTCCAAAATCAAAGTGTTGGCATAGCCATACTCCTTCTATACAGCCTCTGGGGGTGGGGGTGGGGGTGCCTAGGTATTGCTTGGCTTGTGGCAGTGTATCCAATCTCTACCTCTGTCTTCCTTCTATGTGTGTGCATGTGTGTCCAAATTTCTCTATTGAAGGATATCAATAGGTACATTGGATTAATGGCCCACATTACTCAAGTATTACATCATCTTAACTTTACTAATCACATCTGCATCAACCCTATTCCAAATGAAGTCTCATTCTGAAGTACTTGGGATTAGGACTTCAACATATACTTTGGGGGAACACAATTCAACTCATGAGAGTAGAGAAAGAACACTAAGGAGTAGGCAGCTATAGACTAAGTCAGACCTAGAGCAGCCAGGGTGAGTGCACTGGCTGTCCCATGCTCTGGGGGCTTGCCCGTCCATTCAGCCTTACGATTCAGGAATATGTTTGGAAAGGTGGTTCAGGGGAAATGATTGTGTTCTCCAGATAATTTTTCTTCCCACCCATCTTGTACCCATAGGCTGGCTGGAGGGCATGAGGCTCTCAGATGGGGAGCGAGGCTGGTTTCCTGTGCATCAGGTGGAGTTCATTTCCAACCCAGAGGTTCGTGCACGGAACCTGAAGGAAGCCCAGCGAGTCAAGACGGCCAAACTACAGCTGGTAGAACAACAGACCTAGCTATTCTCTGGAAGGACTCCCCTGAGCTTAAGGACAAGTTGTTCATGGAGAGGGCTGGCCCTACAACCCTGCAACAGAGGCCTTCTGTGGACCAAGAACTAGACCTTCTGAGAGCCCAAGAACAAAATCCAACTACCAATCGCTAGACCCCACCTCCCACCCCCCACTCCCCGCCTCCTTTTTTGTGCTTTGTGCTTGGTTGGGGATTTTGAGGGACTTTGCACCGGACTCTGGAAACTTGTTCTCATAGGAAAAGGATCCAGTGGGGCCTACACCAAGGAACTATCCTTCTTCTACCATATAGTACATAACATTCTCTTCCAGAGTGCAGATTCCGAGCTGGCCAGAGTGTCCGTCGTGGCTGTGGTAAACAGAATCTGACCACAGTCCACTGAAGGGAGATGTTTAAGAGGGATTAACATGTCAGCTGGGAGGGTCAACCTGGTGACCTCTAAGGTATCTTCCAACTATAACGATTTTCCATGATTGTCGGTATGAGGTAGTGCATGCAACTCTGGGATCTACTGGTGGCGATGTGAGGGGGATTCTCTCTCACTCTAATAAACTTGGCACTACTCGAGCATTTTCTCTTCAGACTCTGGAGCACTGAGCGAGGTTCCAAACATGGACCCCCATGAGGCTTCCAGGCTACTTGACTTAGGTGTCATGAAAGACCAAGATGATGCCTCGGCCATGATGTCTGTCAACTCTTGCTTTGTGACTCCAGAGAATTTAGGCATTTTCTCTGCTTATTATGTCTGAGAAGGAATTGATGGATGATGAAAACCTATTCATACTTACCTTTTTCCTGAACCTTAAGGTACAGGCCAGTTGGGTAAATTTGGAAATCCTACTTAGGCCATTAATGAGTTTATATTTTTACTTGAATTATTGTGAAGTTATCTTCCCAGTTGTTTCATCCTGTTTGTGAAAAGCAATACAATGTAATGGGAAGAGTCATAGGACCCAAAGCAAGAGACCTTTGCTCCAGTTACCACACTGCCATGATCCAGCCTGTCCATGTCTCAGTCTCCTTAAATGTAAAATACAAGTTTGGACTAAGTAACTCTAAAGTCCCATTCAATTCTACAGCCTATGATTGTCTATCTCCGATCAGGTTGCCTTTTTCAGCTGAAGAGCATCATTCTTTACATTTTTCCTCATATAGAACCCTCACACAGCAACTGAATAGCCATATTTTAAAAAATATATATATTTTTGTTGATTTCAGAGAGGAAGGGAAAGGGACAGAGAGATAGAAACATCGGTGATATGGGAGAATCGTTGATTGGCTGCTTCCTGCACATCCTCCAGCAGGGATCAAGCTGTAACCTGGGAATGTGTTCTGACCAGGAATCAAACCATGACCTCCTGGCTCATAGGTCAACACTCAACCACTGAGCCAGGCTGGCCAGACAGCATAGTCATCTTTTAAGCTGTGTCATTATACTCTTTTTCTTGGCAGTGTACTCCTGCCTTATCTTTGAGAGGACTCAAAAGTAAAATTGCATTGCAACTTTGTACAAAGGTAAGAATACTACTACAGACTGTCCTATACCCAGATAACAATGATATGACATGATGCTATCACTTTTGATAACACATTTTGTTTTGAGTCCATCCAAAAATGTAAGTTAGCTTGTTTAATTGTTAGAAAAGTAATCCCTATCCTAATTAAGATTTGGCTAATAGTAATTTATCCTAACAGGTTGATACTACCAAACATCTAAAATGGGAGGGCTTTAGATAAGTTCTGTTGAAGTTTCTCACTATTTTCATAAAGGCAGCTTTTTGTTAATATACTAGGGGCCTGGTGCACAAAAATTTGTGCATTGGGGGCGGGGGGGTCCCTCAGCTGGCCTGTGCCCTCTTGCAGTCTGGACCCCCTCGAAGGATGACCATTTGGTGGCTTAGGCCCGCTCCCCGAGGGATTGGGCCTAAGCTGGCAATCAGACATCCCTCTGGCAGCCCGGGAGCCCTCGGGGGATGTCCACTTGCCAGCGGGGAACAGGCCTAAGCTGCAGTCGGACATCCTTAGTGCTGCTGAGGAGGTGGGAGAGGCTCCCACCACCACCAGCCATCAGCCTGGCTTATGGCTGAGCAGAGCTCCCCATGTGGGATTGCACTGACCAGCAGGGGGCAGCTCCTGCATTGAGCGTCTAGCCCCTGGTGGTCAGTGTGTGTCATAGTGACCAGTCATTCCCAGTTCTGCTATTAGGGTCAGTTTGCATATTACCCTTTTATTATATAGGATAGAGTCCTGGTGCATGGGTGGGGGCCGGCTGGTTTGCTCTGAAGGGTGTCCCGGATCAGGGTGGGGGTCCTGCTTGGGTGCCTGGCCAGCTTGGGTGAGGGGCTGATGGCTGTTTGCAGGCTGGTCAAGCCCGCCCCCCCAGTGGGGATCTTCACCCCATGGAGGTTTGGCCAGCCTGGGTGAGGGGCTGAGGGTCATTTTCAGGCTAGCCAAGCCCGCTGGTGATGGAAGATCCCAGCCTCTCCTTTTCCTCTCTCTCTTTTTTTATTCTGGGGTTTATTTACCTTTTATAATTGAAACTTTGTTCCTTTGAGTGGAGCTCAGAGCGGGCCGCGGCAGGCGCGAAGCTTGGCTTCCTCCATCATTGGGGCAACCAAACCTCCTGCTTGCTCCAGCTCCGTGGCTGCCGGCCACCATCTTGGATGGGTTAATTTTCATATAGTTGCTTTGATTGGCGGGGGGGAGTGGCTTAAGGCATAGTGAAGGTACAGTCAATTTGCATGTTTGTCTTTTATTAGTGTAGATGGCATAATATGTATATGTTATAAGTAAACTAACAACTTGTTTTTCTTAACAGCAATAACAATAATTATAATCCAAATTATTTGTTCAAACCAGTATTTGAATACTGGCCATATGACTCAAACAGAACCATATCCAACCTTATATTTTCCAGGAAAATTTTCCCAGAGAGGTAAAATATTAACTTCTGAATGATGCACAGGCAAATACTTTTTTTTAGTTGAATGACTGCTTCTTTACTTGAAGTTGCTAAGGCTTTCTGAGCACCTTTGAAGCTGACTTCTGAAAGACCAAAACCATCTTTAGATATTTAACATGTATTTGTTTAATTGGGATATTATCACCTCATCTGTGAAGTTGAAAGACAATAGGATTCTACCTACCTTTAGGTCCTTGGTGTTAAAGACAAACACACACACACACACACACACACACACAATTGAATAACAAAACATATATGAGTCATCTCTCTTCAGTTGAATTACTAAACTTTCTTTTTTTAAAATATATTTTATTGATTTTTTACAGAGAGGAAGGGAGAGAGAGAGTTAGAAACATCGATGAGAGAGAAACATCGATCAGCTGCCTCCTGCACATCTCCCACTGGGGATGTGCCCGCAACCCAGGCACATGCCCTTGACCGGAATCGAACTTGGGACCTTTCAGTCCACAGGCCGACGCTCTATCCACTGAGCCAAACCGGTTTTGGCTACTAAACTTTCTATACTTTGGGTTTCACAAAATCAGGTTCAGGTCCACTCATTATCCATTTCTTCTGAAAATTTTCAGAACTGGCTCAATTTATTTTTTTAATTCTAATTGGCATCATTGTCTTAGAAACACCGCAATTTCTTATGATTGTGTAAACAACCATAAACCAACATTTTTTGGACAGAACTACATTTGAGACATATACAAATATGCAAGGTTTCATTGTTTTTTTTAAACAAAGCCATGCACAGGGCAGTGTCTTCAGCAGATATTAACATCAGTCCTCTCTATAGCCCCTTTGCTGAACTGTGACATGCTTGGAGTATAAGCCGTATAGCTATCTGTGAGCCATTTCCTTCCTGCACTGGGCCACACTGCACCTCCATCATCTCTTTTGCCTCCTCACGAGCCAGATTTTTACTGAGCACGACTTGCTCTGTTGTGGTTATTTATAATGATTTTAATAAGATCAGCCTACATGTTAATATTGGGAAGGCTTACAAATTGAGATGTACTTATTTCCCTTAATTTAATTTTCTGTCTCCTTAAACAACTTCTATATCCATGATACAAAAAAAAAAGAATGGATTTTGGTTGTATGATGACCAATTTTTTTTTTTAATTGGCCTTTGGGATAGAAGTTGTTTAAAAGTCTTTGAAAATCTAAAGGAATTCCATTCACTGGGCCCCTTCTTTCACACACATATTTATCCCCCTCACATAAACCTGATTTCCTTCTGTGGCTCTATCCAGAAATAGTGTGTGTGTTTTTAAGTGTTTAGTGGTGCTGCCCTTATCATAACCTCTTCTCAGAAATGAGACCAAATTAGGAATCCAGGATTTGGTAGAGTGGCCCTTTATAGACACTGCTCCTCACCCACCGCCTAAGACAGGTCCTGGAGCCTTGTGTGTGTTTGTGGTTTTCAGTCCTGCAGATAAATATCTTGGTGAGGGTTTGGCTCCATCGCTAATGCAATTCAGTGACTGGGGAGCCACAATTGCTGTAAACATGACTCAAGAGCTGCCTGTTTAATGTAATCGTCTGACTCTGAAATCAGGTGTGCAGAGGGGCCAAAGGTTACAAGTAAATGAGCTAAAGAGAAATGGATGCCAAACTCAGATCTGGTTCAAACGCACTGAGAACAGTCTTTATACTTAAATAGTTTCGACCGACTTCTTCCCACCCACCCACTTTAAATTACAGTTATGGAGTAGAACTTTCTCTAGCCTCCTCCTTGGAAGAGATTCAGGCAAAGCATCCATTCAGAGTTCCCAGGAACAGCAGAAAACGAGGCCTCGGTCACCAGGAAGACAGACGCAGGGCGTGCGGGTGAGTGGGCGTGTTGTTTACTCTTTCTGGGTGGCTGGTGAACGGGCATGTGTGGAGGAAAGCAGCTGGGTTGGTGTGTGCTGTAAACGTTTTCTGAGCTGGTGAGGGAGTGACTACTGATCCCTGCTGCTTAGTGAGTGAGTCACGGGCCTGAGGGCAGAGCCTGCTACAGGGCGGGGCCCAGTCTGGCCCACAAAGTCCTTCAGGAGCACCAATGAACAGATAAATATTTTCCTGGCAGTTATCTGAGCATTTCAGAGAAGCAATTACCTCTGAACAATGCAAATGGAAATTCAGGGGAGTGGGAGTCAGATCAGATTATGGCACTGCATGAGATGGACCACAGACTGAGGGGTTCCTGGACGCCAGGAAGTTCAGACTCTTCGGGAAAGGGTGGCTGAGGGTGAGGGACCATGGGTACCATGGTAGAGTCCACAAGTCCAGCAAGAAAGACTTCCGCCCGAGTAGCAGTCTCAGGGAGAAAAGGGAAATGCAGAAGGCAAAGAAAGGTTAGAGCCTTCAATGGGACTCACGCAGCCAGTTCTGGTGTTTTCTTATTGAGATCAGCTTGTGGTGAGGATGAGCAACTCATCCCCTGTTGGAGGTGACAGTGGAATCTGGAGAAAGGAGATGGTTTGCCTAAAGTCACACAGCCTGTTAGTTATAAACTACAGGTTACAGCAGCCTGATGTTCACATCTAGGGTTTAAGGGGATGATCTGCTGAGTTTGTTGAAGGTGACTTGCCATAAATTGTAAAGATTGAGTCAACACAATGTGGATAGGCAGATTATTTCTGAGAGCATGGGAGGAGCAGGTGGCAAGACTTGTGGAATTGTTAATAAGCAGGTTTTGGTGATAGAATTGAGCTGGGCCAGGCAACCAACTGGAAATAAAGATAGGGTGTGGTTTGGCCTCAAAGAACTCGGGAGCGTATATGCATGCACACGTGTGTGCACATGTGTGAGTGTGTGTGAAGAGGTGGCTGTTTAGCTTTTAGGGTGGGGAGGATTAGAGCATCTCTACTAGAAGACTGGGCTTCCTCCTTGAAATACAGCAATACAGGCATTAACAAATAAAAGTGGAGAAAAGGGGAAAGAGGAATTTTCTAGTTGAAAACCAAGGAAAATGAGTGTGTATAATTTTTTAAAACTTTGACCATAGTCCTTTAAATTGCTTTGGGGACAATTTTTAGTGCCCTGCATATGAAAATGTACTCGATTTCACCAATTCAAATAATTATTATAGGAAGTAACAGAAAAGCCTAACCAAAATGAATAGGTAAGAAGGTATAATGAAGGTATAATGAAGAAGTGGACAAAATGGAATGCTTAGAAAGAGTAAAGGCTTATTGTTGCTGATAGCTCAGAAGGGACCCCATATTCCCAACAGGCTGCTGGGATATGATGGGGTGAGGGTGCCAGTCTAGGGAGGACACATGGCATAGAATTCGGTGGAAGGGGCCACATGAGCAGCAACAGGGTGAAAGTGAACTGGGAAGGACCCAGGAATCTCCAGGGGTGGACACTCCATTCCCAGATAATGAAAACCTATGGCAGGAGGAATATACCTGAGGCAAGTAGACCAGAGTGATGAGACGAAGAAGCAGATAAAGTGGGAAAGTTACAAACGCAGGCACCAAATGCTGAGGCAGAAACCAACACTTCTAGACTTCCATTGCTTGTAAGTCATACTCCCAGATGCCTGGGCTCTGAAACAAGGAGTCAGTTTGACATTCTCTCCTCTCCACCCACACAATCAGGTTCTGCTGATTTTTTCGTAGTTCACCGAGATTGCTTCCCTCTGTTTCCCTTCCACTATTCTAGTCTCAATAGCTCACACCTGGGCACTGGAGACTTCCCCAAGGGCATGCCTTCTCCCATCCTTTCACCTGCCGTCTTTCTGTAGGAGTGCTATCAGCTTTGACTGTCTCCTCTTTACCCCTATCACAGTGGTTCTCAACCTTGGCTGCACATTAGAATCACCTGGGAATCTTTTTAAAATCCTGATTTCTGGGCCTCATCCTCCAGAAATTCTGTTTCTTTGTTACTAATGCTGTGGCCCCACCCCATAACAAAGAAACAGAATTTCTGGAGGATGAGGCCAGGTGAGACTGGTTACAGCTGTACCCCATCTAGCCATCCAGCCCCCTCCATCTGCCTCTTTCTTGTTGCTCCTACGTCCACTTCACTTCCCTCTTGGCCTGTTCTTTCTATACATTCCAATCCCTTTCCAGCCCTCCTGTTCACTGCTCTCTTCGCCCTCTCCTGTCTCACACAATGTTCCTGTTTCTTTTAAATCAAACTAAACAGTGCCGTGTTATTTATTTTATTTCCCACTTTTAAATGTTATACATTTTTATTGATTTCAGAGAGGAAGGGAGAGGGAGATAGAAACATCAATGATGAGAGGGGATCATTGACCGGTTACCTCCTGCATAACCCCTACTGGGGATCACGCCCCCAACCCTGGCATGTCCCGGGTTACCTCCTGCATAACCCCACTGGGGATCACGCCCCCAACCCTGGCATGTCCCCTGACCGGGAATTAAAATGTGACCTCCTGGGTAATAGGTCAGGGTTCAACCACTGAGCCACACTGGCTGAGTGTGTTATTTAAACACAGACCTAGGTTCTATGGAGGATTCTAAATCTAATCTAGATTGCACCTATTGTTTTACTACACTCAGCCCCACCTTCTGACTTCTTTGTCATCTCCCTCTAAAACTATCAAAATATACTGCTTGAAGTTGGCACCTTCTGACCAATACTTATTTCTTTTGCAACTTTGGGCAAATACTTAAACCTCACTGAGTCACATGAATACTACCTTATAAGACAAAATTTTTAAAAAAAGTCATATAGATTTGTTATGAAATGACCTATTAGAGAGCTACATACACAATAAATTATAAATAAATTACCATCATAATTAATATTTTGTCTGAGGACCAATTTCTGGGAAAAGTATTTCAGTTCCTCATGGTCTTGTAAACATACAAACACACAGAATTGGCTGTCATAAGTACACATTGCACCTATTAAGGCTTGTCCAGTTTCTTAAGTGATATATTCAGGAAGCAAGACTTCTCTGTCTGCATTTGGTGATGCGGAAAATAAACTCAAAAGACTTTTATCTGACAGCCCTTCCAGCTCTTCATCTGCACCCCAGTCTTTCCTCATCAGTCTCAGCAGGCCCTTTTCTCCCACCCCATTCCCCTCGTCTTATTTGGTGTTTCTACGAGTCTCTTCCAAGACAACTTTTCTTTATCCCAGGTGCTTTGTCTGAGCAATCTGGTGTGGTCTCTTGACCTTACTTAGCATTTTCTACGCTGAAGAGGCCCCACAGACCTACTTCCATGTTGTTCTCACTAGATGTGTCCACACAGATAACTACAGGAACTTCCGCTCAACATACAGAGTGGTCTACCTTCCCCAAATCGGCTCCATCCCATTATTTCCTTTCTCAATTAACAGCATTTCTTAGTTACCAAAGTGTCCATCTTCTTTCCTTTCTCTTCAATCCCTTTCAATGGACTTTCATCCTATTAACTGAGCCTGACTCTTTAAGTATTTCTCCAATCTGCCCTATTCTCTCTCCATCATCTCTCAGACTCAAACCGTAGCCCTGTCTTGTTTCCCAGCTTCCTCTAAGCCTCTGGTCATATTTTCCATCTGTCTGTCTAAAACAAATTTAAACAAGATATGCCCACACCTTAAACCTGCCAGTGCTTCTCAGATCTTCTACTACAGCCTTCCCACTGGCCTTATCTACACAAATCCAACCACTCCGAACCCCTCCTTAATCATCTTTCCAATTTCAGTGGCCTCACACTCACTGTGCCTTCTGCCTGAAGTATCCTTTCTTTCCTGCTCTGCTTATCTTAATTCGGTTCTTCCTGTAGGAGTGATGCCTCAGACTCCAGCATTCTCAGTTCCAGCAGACATGGCTGCCCACCTTTGGGACCTTGGTCACATTTGGTTCTTGGGGCTGCCCCTGCACAGCTCTGCCCTCCTGCCATCTAACTGGGCACTTGTGGCCAGACTTCTGGACAAGACTGTCGGTTCCCTGCAAGCCAGAAAGAGCTTTCACTTATCTGTGTTCGCCTGGGACTGTAGATCCTGTAGATCCCACTGAATGCCGAAACATGCAGCTGCCTTTATTTCTGAGGACTTGGTGATGAAACACGAATGAGAGGGTATTTTTGAAAGAACAGCTTGCACCAAACCACAATATAAAAACCATAAATCTCTCTCTGAACTAAAATAACACCACTTCTGGGTGAATGAAAATGATGTACTTCCCGGAAATCAGACTTATTCTTAATTCATAAAGACCGTTTAGGACTTGGAGTGGAATCAATAGAAGTCAAATTGTATTCTGCTTCCTGTTTTTCTGTGCTCCATTTATGCAAATGAGTTAAAATAGGTGTTTAAAAATAACTTCTAATGGGCTATCTCAGTAATATGTAGCTAACAGGAATAGAAAATAGAATAGGAATCCAATAGATTTTAGAGCATTTTTTTAGACACATGTGGAGCCTGGATGGAGGGTTATAATGGCAGGAGGGAGGGGCGTCTCCTATGAATTGGGTTCACACCAGGATCCAGCTGCTCAGGAGCCTGAACTGCAAAAAGCTGAGCCGAGACACAGAGGCCGACTCCTGGACAACCTCTGTTTGGATCAAGATGTTAGCATGGATGTAGAGTCCTTAGCAAAGTGCTACAACCAGCATTGCCAGATTTAGCATACATAAAAATACAGGACACTCCACTATTGTAGGAAGCATGCTTATACTAAAAAAGGATTTGTTTAGCTGCAGCTCAAATGTAACTGGACATCATACATTTTATCTGGTAAGCTACAATCCAAATGACTTTAATATCTTTGAGTCTGATGTTAGTGGCTCGAGGGCTTTTGGAAGAATTAGCATGGGCTTTCTTACTGCAAACTAGTGATTTTCGACCTGTGTGCTGCAAGAATTTTTAAAGCATGCAATACCTGACTAGTCTGGGGCACTGACCTCTTTTCCCTTAGATTGTCAAATAAAGAAATGACAACAGCCAACACAATAGCTGTCCAGTATGAAAGAATCAAAATTAAACATATTTTTTGTCAGATTGGTAAATAATATGTTTTTTTACTGTACCGCAGAATCTTAGTCATTAGTTTACATGCGCCATGAGATGAAAAAGGTTGAAAATCGCTGCTGTAAACCACCAGTTTAAGGCCACAGAGAAACTGGTGGTGGATTGCCATCTGGTGGAAACATTGTGACAGTGAAAACTTAAATTAGATGTGGGAGACATTTTTTCCTGGAGTCTGCAAGGAAGGATTCTGCTCTGGTCAATGGCAGAGCCCTGAGCTTGCACTGTTGAGAGGATGATGACATCAAGAGGATGTGTATTTTCCAATAATCAGCATTAGAGGTCCAGAAGCCCCCCAATGCAGTGGGCACTGTGGGACTATCCGATGTGGCGTACTAACTATATATAAGAGCATCTTCTTCTTAGCGCCCCTCTCCCGCCAAAAAAATAAATGCTTTGGAGAGACTGACCCTAAAATATGCTTGGGCTTCTTCTGTAACCCTGTCCCTCCAGAGTCCAAATTCCAGAGAGCATGGTTTAATAGCAGGAGTGAAGACAAGGCCCCAAATGCCCAGTTTCTCCTCCAGCAGGAGAGACAGGCCAGGGAGAATGCCAGCTGCACTTGATCACGCCTAGTGGCGACCTCACCTGGGACTAGAGCTCAGTGTGTGAGTGGGGAGACAGTAATTAGAGAGAGAAACCAACAGCACACTCGTTTACTGCTTACAGTGAACACTCTGGCTCATGTATCTGGCCAGGAAAGGAAACAACACAAGCTGATACAGAGTTCCTAAGTGGTACCGGCCATCACCTTCAGGGCCGACACCGTACAGAAGTGTGGAGAGTCAGGTAGAGCCAGCCCCTCCCTCCCTCACACCAGCGCCCAGCAAGATGAGCTCACACAGGAGCATGTCCAACTTGCACCCCAGTCAACACAGCTCCCAGTCTTTCCTAATGCTTCTGCTGCCATCTCCCTGATGGCGCCCCAACCCCTCCACCCAGCAGCCTGTCTGACATGTGGCCCCAGGACTAGGGGCCGTGGCTGTTTCTGTCCTCCTCTTGGGCCTCCTCGGGTGCCAAATGCTGCTCCACAGTGGCCGTGGGCTGCTCACTGGGGGCCTTGCTGGGTAAGGGCCCAGCTCCTGGCCTGGCCCCATCAGGCAGCCGGCTGGGCCCTGGAGAAGGCTGTCTGCTCACAGGGTGAGCATAGGGAGCCGGAAACAGATCGGAAAAGTAGCCGTCCCCTCCTGAGGGGTGCCCCAGAGCTTGGGGACAGAAGGGACCAGGGAAGGGCAGTTCTGGCCAGCAAGGGTCATTCCAGGGCACTGTGCCTGTGGGGTCAAAGAACATAGGAGGAATTAGACAGGACTGAGGCACCGGCCACAGTTCAGCACGTGCTGTGAACATCCACCTCCTCCGACACACAGGCTAGGACCCCACGCAAGTCTAGGGGGCAGACTGGCACCAGGAGGTCCCCTGAGGACCAGGCATGCTCCAGACTCGGGCCTGGACACAGTGCACTGTGCCAGCAAGGAAACCCAAACCCACTGGCCACTCCTCCCCTTCTCCTGGAATTTAGTCATCAGATGGCTGCTTCCAGGTTCTCAGAGGCCCAGCGGCCCGTCAGAACACTCGTATTAGCCGCCAGCTACTCTGCGCCAGGCACGGCCCTCATGTTATTCCTCCTCTTCACCAGGTGCCTCATGATATGGGAATCATATTCCCATTTCAGAGCCCAGGAACCTGAGGCCCAGGAGAGTTGGAAACTGCTGAGCTGGACTTCAAATTTTGGTTTTCCTAACTCCGAAGCTCCCTGGCTGACTCTCTGCTCGGCAGCCTCTGAGAAACTTGAGGAAAAAGACCCCCGTGGCAAGAAAAAGGCTTCCCTCGCACCACGCCCCTGTCCCAGCCTCCCCGGTAATGAGGCCTCTGTCCCTTCTCACCTTCCTCAGTCACCAAGGGAACCTTCCCTTCTAGCCCAAACTCACCCATGCTCCCAGCAGGCGGCTGCAGCAGGCCCTGCCCTGATGGGGGCGCTGGGAAGTAGCCCTGCGAGGGCCCCCCATTGGGGCTGTAAGGCGGCGGGAAGAAAGGGTCTTCTGGCAGCGGGGGCGTCAGGGAGCTGGGCGTGGAGAAGGGGAAGGAGTGCAGATAGGAAAACTGGGGCTGAGGCTGTTGGAAAAGCTGGGGCTGTGGAGCCTGGGAGACCTGGAACAGCCCCGGCTGGTTGCTCAGCTGGTAATCCTGGGGTTCCAGCTCTTCCAGGTATGAGCAGGTAGGGGGCGGGGTGACACTGTGGGGACAGGGAAGCATTTGTGAGGGTCGAGGGGCCTCCTCATTCTGACCACACAGTAGGCCAGTGCCTTCTCCTCACCCCTCTCCCCACCTCCAGGCCCCACCTGCCGCCACCTCCTCTTCCTCTGCCTGCTCCCAGTTCACATTTACTGCTCCTTGCTCCTCTCGGCTAACCCTTTGCCATTCCAAGCCCCTCTCTGCTCTGAAACCCTTCCCAAGATAACTCAATGGCCACCCCCACTGGTTCCATACCTTGTCCCCCAGGACCCACAGGAGCCATCTCTGTGGCTGCTGTCACTGCCAAGTGTGTCCATCAGCAGAGGCATCAGTTGGGGGGTGTGGGCAGAGCCGAGGGGGAAGGGAAGGTTGGCCCTTTGGACAGGCGGGGGGCTGAAGAGTGGTGGGGTCACTGCCACCCTCTGAGCACCTTCGCTCTGTTGGTTTGGGGCCAGAGTCTGGTCAGATGTCAGAAGCATGGGGGGCTCTAGGAGCAGAAGACACGAGGGTTGTGAAGGTAAGAGAATGTGGAGGCAGACTTGGGGTTGCTGGAAGGTAGACATGCAGGACAGCAGGGGGCTTCGGGCCACTCCCATGCCTACCAAGAAAGCCACTCTGTCTTCACTGTCTTCCTGTCATCTCTCCCTCCCCCCCCCACCAGATAATCCTCAGAAGGGGGTCAACTCACCTGGCAGTGTGTCTAGAGGGGTCTCCTGAGGGAAGGCACCAGGCTCTGGGTCCATGGGCACAGCAGGTGGCAGCTCAGCAGCAGAGCTGGAGGCAGACAGAGTGAAGGCTGTACTTTGAATGGTCCCTGGACATAGATTGGGGCCTCGGTGCCAGGAAAGGGACAGCCCCTGCCTCCCTCCAAGGCACTGGCCACTGGCCCATCCCATGCAGCCAAAGCCCCTAAATGTTAGCCAGCAGTTCCAGCCTCAACGCCCAGACTTTGAGACCCAGGTCCCAGCTTGGATCCCGCTTCCCACTTCCGGGGATGACCCAGCAGGAGGAGGAACTCACCTGTCCTGGCCGCTGGCAGGGGCTGGACCTGCAGGACTGTCCTTGTCCTTCTTCCCATTCAGTTTCTCCACTTTTCGCCACTTTGCCCGGCGATTCTGGAACCACACCTGCAGGGAGAGACACTAGGAGAGCTTGAGGAAGGGGCAGGAGCTCACTCTCCCGTGAGGAGCTGCCTCACCGCTGCGCTGCAGATGCTGCCTCTGAGGCTGGTGTCATAGAAGGTCCCTCTAGCAGCCTTTCCCCTTCTCGCTTTCTAGGCTGCAGCGATGTGGACATGCAAGAACACAGCCCTAAGAGCTGTAACCTCGGCCCGAGCCAGAGGTGCTGCGCACCTGCCTGCTGTCCAGAGGCCCAGCGTGGATTCTCCTCCACCCGCCCCTGCCCAGCCCCCTTTACCATGATGCGCTGGGGGGTGACCCCCACTGTCTGGGCAATCTCCCGGCGTTTGTCACCGTCAGGGTAGTGGTCTGCTTGGAATATCCTTTCCAGCTCCTCCAGCTGGTCTGGAAGAAGGAGAAGCTCCCATGAATACCAACCCCGGGATGTGGCAGGAGAGGAGAAGGACGCCTGCCAGATGGGACCACCGGCCCAGCCCAGGGCTCCCCAGTC